CCGGGTGAGTCTTCTGCTCAGGGTAGTTTGGTAGCAGGTGACCTAACACCTTCGCAGAGGCTGATGAACCGGTAGTGAGAAGGGCAGGTTAGGTGCTGGGGGAAGTGAGTGGGGAGGGAAACTAACCTTGGGCCGGTCAGCTGACTGCCCCAAGCCTGTCACCATCTGGGAGAACGGAACAATAATATCTACCTANCCCAAAAAAGTGTTTGAAAAAAATCTTTCTACTCTCCCCAGCTCTCTATTTCACTCACTGCACACTCTCCACGCAGCTTCAGGGTTGGGCAGCTCTCTCGCTCACGGACGGCTTCCTTTCTACAGACAGAGCTAGACTTCAGAAGAATCAGCTTTTTTCCAGAACAGCAATGCATCAGACTATGTATAAGGATGTGTGTGTGTGTGTGTGTGTGTGCGCGCGCGTGTTTGTTTACAGGTGAGTATGTGTGTCTTTGCTATATGAGCATCTCTGAGTATATATGAATATGTGTATATCTGTGTGTATATGTGAGTGTGTGTGTGCCCTTGTGTATGTATGAGTGTATGTGTCTCAGGGTGTATCTTTATTTGTGATTGTATGTGTTTCTCTGTATATGTATGTGTGTATATGTAAGTATGTGTGCAAATATGTGCATACGTGAGTGTATGTATATTGAGTGTTATGTGAGTCTTTGTAAGGGTGTCTGCATGGATAGTGAGGGTGTCTTTATGTGTACATGCAGGAGCTCTCCCTGTGGGCTTAGATCTGTGCTTGGGGCCATGTCACCCTGTAGAACACTGAAGACTCTGGTGGATGGGTGCTGCCAACGGGGAGTGTGTTATACTGTGTGGTCCAGCATCTCTACAGATTCCTTGGCTGGTCCAGGGGCATCGCTGCCTTTTCATGCCCGAGTTTACCCTCTGCTGAGCCCCAACAGAGAGCATCACCACAGAACACTTATGATAGGATAAAAACTTTCATTTTAAGTGTAACGACTCCTCAGTTTGGGAACTGAGTTTATAGCTCAAATTCTGTCTTTAGTGATCCAAGGTTCTGCTTAAATTCCAGTTTGTAAAGCAGAATTTTGTGATACTGAACACTGTGAAATAAGTTGAGCTTACAAGGATTTGGAAATCTTTCCCCTTGGAGATTTTAGTTACAACTTTATTTCTAGTAGGAAACATATAATCTCTGTCCTGGCTTTGTAAGCTTTCTTGATGAAGAAGTAGATTATGGATACTGGCAAAGGGTCTGTAGCCAATTGTTATCAAATAAGAAATAATCACTTTTCCTTTGGGCATTTAGATGTCTCTAAGAAAAATGCTAGAAACTTCAAATGTTAATTTGAACCCAATTCATTCTTACCCAGATACACTATAGCAACACCGAAGTGAGGTCGGGCAGTCGGTGGCCTCAACCTCCTCGCTTTCACCATCCACATGCGGGGAGGAAAGAATCTGCAGGTTTCTTTATTCCCAAAAGACTGAACCCTTGTAATGTTGCATCATCTGCTCTTCATATTCTGGGATTACGTTGATTAGAAAGGAGTGTACATCTTCCGGATGCTTTAGACTTAAGGGGGTGGAGGAAGGTTTTGAGTCTTGGGGAGG